GAAATTTGATAACGGCGATTTGGGCGATTTTGAAAATCCAATAAGGAAAGGCGATTTGGGCGATAATGACTCTCTCTAGCGGCGACTTTGCTACGAAGGTTTCTTGTAACCCTGTAATGGGAACCCGTAGGTTTCTGCCATTTCCGCGTGAAGGGTTGGCGGCATATCTCTCCAGACACCGCCCGTGGCCGGGTTCGAACCAGGGTCAGTGCAAGTCGTAACTGACGCCTTAGTCCACTCGGCCACTCCTATATTTATTTTATGGGACAGTAATTGTATAGATAATATAAAATTAGTCTTTTTTAGCATAATAATATTGTTTATATTAATTATTAATGAACTTTGCATTAATGCAGGTATAACATATATTTCCATACAATTACAATATACCTAATAACTACGTTTTATATTAAGTATAGAAAACGAAAATATAAACATTCAGTATAATTTTCATGTATTTACAGTTATTCGTTGTAGAATAACAGCAAAATAATAAAATCGCTTTATGAGAAATCGAGTGAATATCTAATATCGTAAAAATATAAAATTCAAACGCTCATAAAAATTTAATTTGATTTGCTTGAAGACATTTTTTTTTTTTTTTTATAAAGATAGACAAACTTATGAATAATCTTGTATTACATTTTCAATTCTTAGACTTAAAAAAATTTTTTTTCATGAATTTCTAACTCAAAATAATTTGCAAATGGTGCTTTAGAAATTAGAAACCCAAATTAGAAAGTGTGCTTTTCCAGAAAAAGTTATTTTATCATGCATTACAGATTTAAGTAAAGAAAATGATGAAAATAATGAGCTACAAATGCATTGTTTATGTACAATACTGCAATTAGTAGGACCAATATTATCAAAAGTAACAATAGAAAATTGCTTTAAAGAAATTGTTTAATATAGTTTTTTTTCTAGATAAATGATTTGAACAAACCAGCTGATAAGCTTGTATCCTCTATAAATAACCATGGTATGTTATCGACACAAAATGTTTAATACATCAAGTAAAAAGAAAGCATTCCAAGGGTTGGTTCCAAAAATATATAAGCACAGTTTATTTTTATAGTCATTTTAAGTTCAACTTTGGACAAAATTACATAAAAAAAAACCTAGAATAACTTTTTTAGTTATTTTGTTGTGATTGTGTAATATTATTCGTCGGTACTTGAAATTTCTAAAGTAATCTACTATATATACATATAAATCTATGATAGTATCAGGGTTTGTTGTTGGTGTATAACGCGTTATAAGTACCTAATGGATATTGTGATATGATTAATTTGGAATTCATTATAGGTCAATTTTTTTTAATACCATAGATATGTATATAATATGTCTTATACCTAGACTGACATACCGTCTCCGCTTGGAATCGTTTTTCTTATACAATGATATTATATCATTGAATTCAAATTTAATAATATCCATTATACAGGGACCCACTTGTAACCTACTGTACAGCAGAGCACCTTTTTCCAGTTGTTATTAAGAGGATGTCAAGTACCTATTTTTTTCTCTCTCTGATTCACAATTCTCGATTCAACATAGGAGATGTGAGTTGGACCAATTGCAAATACAGGGAGGGGGGGCTTTAAGGCATAAGCCACTCTCCCAAAAAAAAGTGTCCATAGCTCACCCAAACATTTCCTAAATTTTGTTTTAAGCTTATTCAATATTATCAAAATAAGGCTTTAGACCCAAATGCTATTTGCGCCTATGATGAGTTCAACATAACCGATCTTGTGTTGATCTTTAGTTTTAGGGTGAATTGACCTATTATAACACAAAGTTAAGAACATTTTGGTTCTGTGCATTTTTAAATTGTAACATTTTATACACTCATAACAGTCATAACTAGGATTTGGGATTCATAGCACCTATAATCATCAAAAAAGCACTTAAATATTTCATATAAGCACTTAAAAATATTAAAATAAGCAACAAAAGCACGACAGAAACTATAGACACAAGTTTTTTTTTTATATTATCATTTAATTTTTTATTGTATTTACAGAACCTGTCAAGTTTATAGGAATCAATCACTGCCCATTCTGATTTATCAACACACATGAAAAGTGTATATAGATTAAAATCAGATATGATAATGGCAGAATGGATATATGATGAATGTCATGATGTTCTTTTCAATTATGACTAGAAGAATAAAATTGATATAATATGTTCTAACTTCCAATACCACCTACTGTAAAACATTTTCTGACGTCATGTATATATAATGTCTATACTTACAGGAAGTTATAAAGTTATTAAAAATTAATACATAGATTTTCAACGATCCAGTATTGTTTGTTGTTACTATAATTCTTGTAGCTCTAGAAGAAAATCAAAATGTAAGAAATCGTGCTGGAAAACTTTTAGATAATCTTAACTTTTATAAAAAGTTATTAACATGTTCAATTCAATCAGGGTAAATAGTATAAGAAAATAATTAAAACAATTGTTTCAGTGTCGACAAAGTAATGAACGATTCGGGTATTAAGAAAGAATATCCAAATTTTTTAAACTTATTTCAGATATAACTGGTCAGTTCTTGTATTCTTGTTTCTCTAGAAGAAATTTAAATTGTAAGGAATCAGGATGGAAAACTTTTACATAATATTAATAAAAAAAAAGTTATCAACATGTTCAATTCAATCAGGGTAATTAGTATAAGAAAGTAATTAAAATAATTTTTTAAATGCTCGTTAATTGTTTCAGAGTCAACAAAGTATGATTTTGAATGATTCGGGCACTAGTGTATCCAAATTTGTCAAACTTAGTTTTAGATATAATAACTGGTCAGTCTAAACATTTAAGTTTACCAATGCCTGTTGAATTTAAAATTATTAATTAACTACACATCTTGTAGAATTTTGTATTAAACAATGTTTTTTTTTTGTCAAATTATCTTCCTTGTACATTTTATTATATTAAATAGATAAAACTATTTCTATAGTATACTTCAGTATGCAATTAGGTATATTAAAATTATTAATATGAGATTTTCCCAATTGTCATGCTAATAAATATATAATGTATAATTGATTTCATTGTTAGAAATTTCAAACTGTTAAATAAATATTTAGTTATGAAAATAGCATTAGATAAAACTTTATTTATTTTTTATCTTATATTCACCAGTTCAAATAAAAGGTTAATTTTCAATGTGTACACATGTCAAAGAATTTTACTATTTTCAAGCCGCTCAAAATTATATAAAAATTAAAGATTTTAATTTTTAAAACATATTTTGTTTCATTAACTAGTATATGTTAAATTGTTAGAACCAAAGCTAAAAACCGATTCATTTTTCCTTCAAAAAGATTAATTGAACATAAAAATTGTTTTTTTTCTTTTAAATTATAATTTAATCATTCAGAATAATAATGCTAATAAATATTGCTTGAATTATAAAATGTAGATAACATTGGTTTTATTAAAATCTTTCCAACCTAAGTCCTATAGTTTAGTCAGGTGATTAAATTTAAATTTCAAAGTACAACATATAGTAGATACTTTAGAGTAAAAAATGTTATTAATGACAATATCTGAAATATTTACATCCTTATAATGTAATTATTTGATAATGTTTGCATGTAAATATTTTAGTCTAAACCAATAAAGGGAATAAATTGTTAATCACAAATAAAATTAATTGAAAATAATTATATAACGTTAAAACAAAAATAACATTAATTTAAAAATTAGAAAATTCCATGTGATAAAAAGAAATATCAACAAGTTTTTATTTGACAAATACATACTGATAGGTTACATAAAAAGGATTTACATAATATAAACACAAAATATTATGTGTCTTCAGTTTAGTTACATTTGACACTCTATTAAATAATAATCAATGATTGAACTATTCTAAATAATATATCAGGTGAATTTAAAATAATGTTTTTTTTTTCATTTTTATTAGTTATGACTGTATAAATAAATATACATATTTGATATCTAATATATTTAAATATAGTTTTACAGTTTACCAGAAAAATAAATATATAAAACTAATTAAATGGGTGGTTGACAAATATGAATGTGAAACCTTTTTTAAACTTTAAGCATACTTGTGAAGACAACTTGTGTTTTGAAATATTATATTAATCTGTTCAGATTTTATATGAAATACAATAATAGATTTTAATTAAAATTATTGGTATATAGAAATAATTTTGTTTAATGACATCAAGAATAATGAAAAACAAGGACAAATTCCACTGGTCTCAACTTTACTGTACATTGAATGAAACATGTGAAAACCAGCATTATAAAACAATACAAAATAGCTAAATAAGCAACAGAGGTATCATTTTTAAGTACTCAACAAGCAATTGAATAACAAACACCCAATTGTCAATACGTCATTCCTGGTATAGAAATATCACTTACATAAAACCCATTGAATAAATAAATAAATAATACTATTTGATTATTTAGATTTATAATTCTAGGCTATAAGCAAAAGGTAATAACTAAATTGATAGGTAATAATTTAAAACTAAGATGAAATACAAAAGTGATTATGAATTTTATTTGTCTTACTCAAATTCATCAGCTATAAATAAATTAATATAAATGTACAGCATTTTGTCATAATTATTTAATGTAACAAATTTGTATTATTACACTATAAATAGAAATTACATACAATGCTTAATATTCTTTTTCCCTTTAAATACTCATTTTAAATGAAGATTAAGAGCTATATCTCAACATAAATATTAGATGATTTATAATCTAAAAAAAAAAAAACAAAGCTTAGAATAAAAATAAAAAAATTAAAACATACTTTGTTTGAAATCAAAATTCATTAATACATTTTACATAAATAATGAATTTAAACTATAGTGTAATGACATTCAACCTAAATGTAAGAGGCATATCAATTCATAAAAAACTTTAATTCACTTTTTTTTTCTAAACTTTATAATATATATATTTTTTATGTATCAGTTATGATTTATACTTTATTTACCGCGTATTTATGACTGAGACCACCAATCTTGAGTTGAAGAATTTCCATTGGGAGCTGCACCGCCACTATTGTATGATCCTCCATAATTACCACCACCATAAAATCCACCTCCTATAGAGTAAAACAACAATTAATTATAGATAATGTTTAATATTACAAATAGGAAGAAAAAAACCAATTTGGTAAGTACTACAGTATAAATTAACTTAATTACCATTATTACTGCCACCTCCATAGTCCCTACGAGGTGGACCTGAACTACCACCCCTTGGTGGCATGCTGCTCGTAGTACGATAATCTCGAGAACCAAATCCGGCACCGCCAAAACGACTTCTGCAATTTTTAAGATATAAATTAATTTAAATAAATTTGAAATAGTATTTAGTTTTAAATAATATAAATTGTACAAATTTGAAAACATACCCTCCTTTTGCTCCATTACTTCTTCTTCCACTGCTCATTCTGAAGTCTACAGCCATACTTTCCAACCATCCAGGTAATTCCTGTTTTGATTCAGTTATCAATTCCATTAGGTCTCTAGTTAAATTGCGATTTTTGTCATTGAAAAAAGAAGTGGCCAAACCTTTTAAAATTATAACCATTTGATAATGAAGTCAGTTACCGCCAGTTAAATTATTTAATTCTTGGATAAAATACAAGGAGTATTTAGAACTCACCTAAGTTTCCCATACGGCCAGTACGTCCAATACGATGCACATACTCCTCGACATCTGACGGTAAGTCATAATTAATCACATGTGTTACGTGAGGTATATCTAAGCCTCTAGCTGCAACAGCTGTAGCAACTAAGACCGGTGTGTTCCCTGATCGGAAACTTTTTAATGCATCCTCACGTTCTCGCTGTGTTCGGTCACCATGAATAGAGGTTACTGGATAACCGTTGGAATATAAAAATTCTTCCAAAGAATCGGCGCCTTTTTTAGTTTCAACAAACACCAATATCAATGACTCAGCAGGTTCTGTAATCAAGAATAAGACAATTATAAAATGAAAATAATAAATACATTTAAATATACTAACTTGATCTAATTGGAGTAGCATTTAGTAAATCTAATAAATAGGATCTTTTGTTTCGGTCTTCAACCCAAACAATTTTTTGTGTTATGTTTTCAGATGTTGATCCAACTCGACCAATAGCTAAGAAAATATAGTTGTCAAGAAAATCTCTAGCCAACATCTGTAAGTAGATAGATAAAAATGTATGAGAAAAAATGTATAATTTCAATATGAGTTATTCCATTTACTTGAATTTCTTTAGGGAATGTTGCAGAGAACATCAGAGTTTGTCTGTCACCTGGAGGAGGCATAGAATCCTTCTCTACAATACGTCTTATTTGAGTTTCAAAACCCATATCTAACATTCGATCAGCTTCATCCAAAACTAAGTATCGGCAAAAATCTAACCCAATTTTACCTCTCTCCAACATGTCTACTAAACGGCCAGGAGTAGCCACTAATAAATGGCACCCCTGTTCTAGATCACGGATTTGGTCCATAACATGTGAACCACCATAGCTGTAATCAGAATAAATTTATAATAATAAATAATTTTTACATATTATATAATTAATAAAAAATACTTACACAACACACGGACGCACTCTAGAACGATACGCAAACTTCTTTGCTTCATCATATATTTGGGTAGCTAATTCACGAGTAGGAGCTAATATTAAACCAAGAGGATATTTACGTCTTGACTGTAGCTGTTAAACATACATTTTAAGAACATTTTAAAAATAATTCTAAAATAATTATTGATTATTGTCTAACCTTAGGCCCAACATTATATGCGGCTGGCCCTTTTTCATAAATCTGATTGAGTATGGGAACCAAGAATGCAGCAGTTTTGCCTGATCCAGTTTGGGCACAGGCCATAACATCACGACGGCCAACAATAATCGGTATAGCATACTTTTGAACTGGAGTTGGAGTATCATAACGAGTCAATGCAATATTCATGCGTATAATATCTGTCAGCTTAATGTCATCAAACTACAATTAAGATACAATGAAAAAATATTATTGCTAAAATTTGATACAAATGATGTTATTCTCAAAGTGAAATATATTAAGCTTACTGTATTAATATGGGAGGGTATATCTTCACCAGTTGCTTCAACTGGAATATCTTCATAATTTTTGAAGTTAATGCCTGTACTATTATTTCCAAAAAGTTCCTCCTCCAAACGTTCATCAGGGGGGAGTGGTTTTGTCCAATCTTGATTAGGAGCGCTAGATTCATCCCAACGGCCACCTCTACGATTTTCTCCACCTCTACAATCATCATTGCTGTTAAGAGTTGTTGTGAATATAATTTAAAATAAAAAATAATTAACCTTCTTCCATCACGTCCACCACCTCCTTCTTGCCACCTGCTGCCACCTCCTCCTCCTCCTCCTCCACTACCTCCTTGATTGAAACGCGACCAATCGCCGCCATCTCTATCATTGCGGTAATTGCCTCTATAACCACCTCCGCCTCGTCCGCTACCATAACCGGAACTCGATGATCCATTGTAGGAACGATCTTCATAATCATCTCTTCGGCCACCCCGGCGATCGTTTCCTAAAAAAATTGTTATATCCTTATAAGTTAAATTTAAAACAACATTGGAAAAAATGTATCTAAATTTTAATTAAAAAAAAACCTGATGGTTGGCGAGGGGCGTTAAAATCTCTGTCTGTATCAACACTTTCTGTAACATAAAAAAAAACAAAATAACTTGTTAATATAGCTATTTATCCAATAATTAAAATACAGAGCAAATAGAACAGTGTCCTTAAAATTATGTTTAAAAACCTTAAACACAAGAGTAAGTTTTTTTTATATTTAAATTCAAAGATAACCATTAATTATTTGATACATTTGTACAATTCAATGAGATAAGGAAAACTAAAAATACCCAGCCATATTTTTGTAACAGTGTTCATCTGTTCATGATAAAGTAGCTTGCTTATCTAATTAAAGATAAAGCAGCTATAAATAATATTTAAAATAGGATGTTTACACAGGATCTAGAATAAAAGCCACGGGAAAAAAGATTTTTCCAGTATGTATAATTTACAAATATTTATATGGGATTACACACTCTCAATTGTAAATCTATAACAATAAAGAGTGGATATACATTTGTGAGACTGAGGGTATTTTATGTAACAGTTAATATCTCAACCTTCAAAAGATTATTAGGGAATGTCTTGACCAAAATGTCACCATTTAAATTGAATAAAAATTTTGATAAAAAAAAAACAACTTTATCTTTTGAAATTATGTCTTACACTTAAATTTTATGTAAACTTGGTAAACTGGATTGTATACTAGGTGATTATTTAACACAAAACAGTTCATATATTACTTTTTTTTTTTTTTTAATTAAAGTATTAGTGTTTTGTGAAGCTGAAGTATGTCTTAGGTTATAACAACACCCTGTATATTCCTACATAAAATGTTTAACACCTTTTTAGTCAACTTCTAGTATTTTTCATTTATTATAACTTCGGTTTTCAAAAAAAGAAAAATATCTTTAAAATAATAATTTATAACTCAATAACATAATAGTTTTTTAAAATTATTTTGTTCACACATTTAGTGTAAATTCAATTGATACGCTGTTTACCAACCAAATATTATGTTATATTTATTCAATTTAAATGTTGGCCTTTGTTTAAGGAAATTTCCTTAACGAATCTAAGGTTTAACATTCAAAACATTGTTTTGTTTGATGGGGAACGAGGTGCATAATCAAAACAAATAGAAAAACACTCAGATACCATCATAATAATATTGGAAGTTTAATTTAAATATTATGTATATATATATATATATATAATACATGCATTTTTTCATTTGTATATATTCAAAAATGAAAATATGAACTAACTTCCGTATCTTTTTAAGTTATGAGAAAATATTGTGTAAACAAAAAATGACCCAACATATAAATGTTTAACCTAACCTTATAGAATCACAGAAATAATATTGTCTTGGTACAATTTACCTACATTCAATTCCATTCACGTATCATATTATATAGATAACACTTTTGTCTTATAGTAATCAATATAGTTTTTACTAAATGGTAAAAATAAATAAATAATATGCTACCGTTTAAACTCTAAACTATTATGTTGTTTGATGGGGAACGAGGTGAATATTCAAAATAAAAAGAAAAACACTCAGATACCATCAATATTCATATTGGAAGATTAATTTATATTTTATAATAAAAAATAAATGTAATTTTCTCATGATTGCATAAATTCAAAAATGAAAATACTAACTTCCATAAACTTTTAGTTATGATACAAATGTCAATATTATACCACCATCAAGGCCTCATTCTACATTTAAAGTTAAACTTGAATAGTTTTTATTATTATCATGACATTTATGACGAGAAATAATATTCATTTCTAGGCTAAATTTTTGCCTAACATTAACAGTGGGGTTAATTAATATTGGTAATTTAAACGTTTTATAGTTTATTTTACAAAACATTATTTAAAATAGGTACAAAAAACCATTTGTGTACAGGTGGGAAAAACTTACTTTGATTTCAATGAATACAATAGATTTATAATATAATAACAATTACTTTATAACAGTTTCCATATTTAATAATTATAGTGATTATACATAAGTTTAATTTGATTGATGCAAAAAAATTATCAACACCAATGAATAGACTGGACAGTATTGACCTAGAAAATATTATATCAGACTAAACTAATGAAATTTTTCTTTATTAACAAGCAGTAGGAAGTTAATTGTTTTTATCTCAAGCCATGATAACAAATATTGCACACTCAGTTATTTATGAGAGGAGTGTTTATTTTTATCTAATACATTGAAGGTACACTGGAACATAGTTGTACAAATTAAATGTTATATAATATTATGATGGTTTAAACTTTAGTAATGATATAAACGTATAGTGACATAGACAGACTATGCAGGGTGTATACAATACAAGCATGTAGATCAATATCAAGGTATTGTTTTAAATAAAAAACGTTGGTAATTGATGGGAGTTATAGAGTTTGTTTATTATTAACATTAACTGAATGAGAACATAATTCAAAAGTGAGGCAGTTAAAGGGATAATTTGGACGATGAAACTTATTTACAGCATAATAAATGGAGAAGAAACTCAACCTATACACTAAGCATTAATAAACAATCAATCATTTGATTGACATAAAAATCCTGTTTTAAAAATGCTGAAATGCACAAAACATAGATATTTTTTATTAATTCATCAGGGAAATATTTAAAGAAAATATTTTCCAGTTTGTAGATCTGAGAAGATAGCAGACATATTAAAAAACCAGCTTAAGTGGTTTGGATAGTTTCTCAAAAACTTTGATTAGAAAATTATGTTAGAAAAAATATTCTTGGTTTATGTAGATCATTAAATTATAGAGGGATAGTTAAAAAATATAAGCAATACATCATACAGAATTACATATTATTATTTCATATTTATTCTATTGTTATTGATAAAAGTTAAATCTCATGATCATGTATTTCTATAGATAATAGGGAAATAAAGTCGCTAAAAGGCGCTTTTCATACATTGTTGTTCCTACATTATAGTATTGTATACAAATAAATAACTTGTAACCATAGTACTTACACTGTTAAAACACAATTTACCTTTCATGGTTATGTTTTTAAGTTATACACATATTTACTTATATTAACTAATTGCATTGTGTAGTTTATTTTATCTTTTGCCAATCTACAATATAATTATCATTCAACAACTATGAAAACCTATAGTTAAGTCTTGATTACTCGAATCGCAAGAAGTACCTATACAAATTAATTTGACATATATTTTTAATTTTAAATATCACATATATAACATCTGTAATGACCGTAGCTTACAAGTGTAGGGAGTCAATACATGTTATTCTCGAACTTTCCTCATTGATGATTGCCCCCCAAAAATGGACATTTTTTATTTACCAGACATAGTAAAAAAGTTCCCAAGGTTTTTGCATTACAGTAGTTTAACTATATATTTAATTAAAATTAAAAACATTTCTAAAATCAAAATTTCTCAAAACTGCATAAAATGGTTTGTTAAAATTAAATAATACATTCAAGTATTAAATTAAAGTTATTTGAAATAATTTATAACATTTTACCAACATGGTTGAATACTTGACAAATATCTAAAGTATTTGTTAATAATCAATACATAAATAAATCAAAGTATATAGTAAATTATGTATGGCCCTAAGAAGCTGCAATATATTTTTATAAACTATAAAACGAAAAAATAATAGTTTTGTTTGAAGTATGAATTTGTATAAAACCAACAGGCAGTTACTATTCTTTTGTAATTGAACTAGCAATAATGAAATTGTGTAATTGTATTTGGTTTAAATGTAATCGTCAACAAATAAATGCAATCACGTTTAAAATAATTAAAATTATTATAACAAAGAACAGAACAAAGAAAACAAAATTACAATTGTTTATAAATTTAAGAGTAAAAATATAATTTTTCAATTTATCTATTACGCGGTTAATAAACATTAATTACCTGGTTCTACTGCTTCGGAATTATCCGGTCTGTTCCTCAGATGAGGTGGAACGTACTTACTTGGAGCCGAACTGGGCTGTGAGTTGCCCTGCAAGTCCAGACCAGCAAACTGGAAAAATAAACCAATAAAACTATAAGAATCATCATACACATTTAAAACGTTCAATGATAATCAGCGAGTGTAAATTAGCGGCACTATTTTAAGACGGCGGTAACCCAGACAATGAAAATTCGCACGTATCTTAACCTAGTTGATGGTCCGTTGATGAACATTGAAATGAACAAATGAAATTCTTACCTGCTGCTCTAGACCTGATCCATTTTGATTGGGTACATTACTCATATTATTACAAATCGGCGACGATGAATACGTTGCTGCACTTGCGAGTGTAATTCAACAAAACGAACGTACAAAAATTAAATCGCTGTACTGAAAAGTATTATGGCAAATGCCAATAATAATGGCCGACTAGATTGAAAGGAGACAGACAGCTGATAACCTTGAATGCGACGTTACCATCCCGTCGGTTATAACCAAAATAAATTTGCTCTTTTTTCGAATTTCATATGTATTTTAATTATTCTATTCCCATAAATAAGCCATTTGTCATACAACTTGAATTTAAATTTGCTAAAATGAAGGATTTAATTCAAAATAGTTCTAAATTCAATAGCTTTTTCTAAACGAACAAAAGTTGGTGGCACTGCGTGCATAGGCACGCATCACGTCCGTGTGCGTCCGCACTGATTACAATGTTTTTTTGATTTCACGAGTCTTTCCTACGTGAAACAGTTCTTCGAGTAGTCATCTTCTAAAACGTAAGTACAATTTTTTATCCTCATTTATCTAACCAATCCAATTTTACAGACAGACATCCGTCTTTGGTTAGGCTTAGGTTCGTATTGCAATCGATATTTATATTGATGTCCCCAACGTTTAAACACATCAACCGGTGTTCGAATCTGGTGTAAAGTGTTACCTTCCCCGGGTTTTTAGCGTATATAGTCGGGATATTGAGTGTCACGTCTTTTTTAAATAATTGACGTAAGTTTATCGACGCTGTTCACTACGTGGTTGTACTTTTTAATTTTGTTTTTGTACCTGAACCGGTTGTCTGGACTGAATTTTACTCATGGTTTGCTGACGACTGATTTGATTAAAATGTTTCGTTTGTGTTTTTAGGTATCATAATGGGTAGGGTTATTCGTGCTCAGAGAAAAGGTGCGGGAAGCGTTTTCCGTTCCCACACTAAACACCGCAAAGGCGCCCCCAAACTCAGGAACTTGGACTACTCGGAAAAGTATGGTTACATCAAAGGAGTTGTTAAGGTAAAAAACGTTAAATTTATAGCTAATTTTTTTTTTAATGAAATACAATTTTAAATATGCAATAATATGAAGTTCTATCGCCGCTTGGTTTTTTCAAACAATACTTAAATTTTAACTATAAATATAATTATTTACCTATATTCATGTTATTTATAATACTTAATATTAGAAATACAATTTAATTTTCATCTGTAAAATGTATAATTATTTATTAATATTTAATTGTATACCTAGTACCTACTACATATCTTTAAAAGATTGAGTTTAAAATAACTATTAAATTTATCAACTTTACTTGAATTTGTACCATATTTTTAATTATTATTAAAGTATAATCTATAGTTAATTATTTTTGTGTTGTAGGACATTATTCACGATCCAGGTCGTGGAGCTCCTTTGGCTATTGTTCACTTTAGAGACCCATACAAATATAAGACAAGAAAAGAGTTATTCATTGCACCCGAAGGTGTATACACAGGACAATTTCTTTACTGTGGAAAGAAAGGTATTGTGTAATAAAATAAATTAATAAATTGTATAATTATTACTTTAACAACATTCTTAAATTTTTTTATTTATTTTGTAGCTAAATTGAACATTGGTAATGTTATGCCTATTGGTGTAATGCCTGAAGGTACTATTATCTGTAATTTGGAAGAAAAAACCGGTGACCGTGGTCGTTTAGCTCGTGCTTCTGGTAATTATGCTACCGTTGTTGCCCACAACCCAGATTCCAAAAGGACAAGGGTAAAGTTACCGTCTGGTGCAAAAAAAGTTATTCCATCCAACAACCGTGCTATGATTGGTATGTATTGTTACTGGATTTATTCATTAAACATTATATTTTTATTGACTTATTCAACATGGTTTAAGTTGTAATAAAAATAATGTTCAACATTTTTAATAAATAAATGCTTCTCGATCATTATTTTATTATCACTACTTTCACAAACTATTATTCTTTTATACATATTCTTACAATACAATATAGTCATGTATTATAAATTATAATATAGAAGATATTAGATAAAACAGTATTTTTTATTATACTCTTGTCAATGAAAACTGTAAATCTGTGTGGTCATTTAGTCATTTATGTGGCATCTCAATCTGCAAGCTTGAGAGTAATTCATTTTTATTGAATTCTGAATTAGTATTATATTGTCAAAGCGTATTAAAATCTATGATGTTTTAGACATTTGAAACCTGACAATATTCAGTGAAGTCAATATTTGATACTGAGATTATTTATTTTGAATTTATTATGAAAACTTCTGGGTTGAATCAATGATGATGAAATTAATAGACATTTGAAACCTGATTTTTTAGTGAAGTCAGATTGTAACTGAGATTCAATCTATTATTATAAATGTAGACATCGCAATTACTGATAATTTATTTTATTTATAATTCGAGATAAATTAAGTTTTAAAAGTACCTACTACTAAGTATATAATTTATTTTTTAAAGGTCTGGTTTCTGGAGGTGGACGTATTGACAAGCCCATGTTGAAGGCTGGGCGTGCATACCACAAATACAAGGCTAAGCGTAATTGCTGGCCTAAGGTACGTGGTGTTGCTATGAACCCTGTTGAGCATCCTCACGGAGGTGGTAATCATCAACATATTGGTAAAGCATCCACAGTCAAGAGAGGAACCAGTGCAGGAAGAAAGGTAAATAACATAATTTTGTTGTTATTTTTAATTATAATTACTAATTATTCTATTTTTACGTTTTAGGTTGGTCTCATTGCCGCCAGAAGAACTGGTAGAATTCGTGGAGGTAAAGTGGTCACCAAGAAAGGTGATGATTAATCTGTTTATTGTCGTGTTTGTATTTAATTTTACAAATAAAAAAAAAAACAAAATCAACAAACTGGTTTAGTGTCTTATTATTTATCTTTCTTTGTATGCTACAATTATTTATTATTTTATTTGGTGTGACTTCTTTCTTTTAGTCAATTAAATAACAGCTATTCATATTCCTTGATAAAAAGGTACAATATTAGTTCTTGATAATATAATAATATTACAAATGGACCTATTTAAATGTAAAAAATTGTCTATAAGTTATAATATGAGTTAATTAAATATTTAAATATAATATTTGATCCAAATGGTTAAACTGATGTATATATAAAAATATATAACTTGATTTCTATTTAGTGCATAACTTATTAGTTATATCTCTGAAATATGTGTTTTATAGTTGTGAATATTTTAATCACAGCAAAAATTATTTTTGTTAGATAATGGCTTTTTTTTGATATGTTTTAAATTGTTAAATATTCATTACATAATCTACATTTATCTATTAACTAATACACAAATTATACTACAATATTTAATATTTGAATGCATTAATTTGCCAATATTTAGTATTAATTCAATTTTTGTTAGGTTCTACAACAGGAATGGTCATATTGGCAGGTTTTAATATACAATACTAACTTATGGCTACTCATAAACTGTTTGATAGTGATAATATTATACTAAGATTGTGTATTTATTTCATTTTTAAGAGAATAGGATTTTGAGTCACCGAAATCAACGATGTCTTGAATTTATTGTATGTAGTAATTAACTACTTGTAGAACTTCTTTATCTATGTAAATAGTAATCTATACCTATGTATAATGAAATATTTAGATATGTAGGTAGTTATCATAGTTCATCATCCAATCCTTGTGATTCTTATCATTTTTGTGTTCCAAAAAAAAAAAATTAAAACCATGGCAACAATTATTAAACAACTTCAATGGTATTTACAAAATTATTTGTTTTATCAATAACACTAAATTATCTCAGTAAATAATTGTTCTTTTAAGTGTATTTTTGTAAAATAATATTGAATTAAAATGGATTACATTGATTTAAAAAAATTAAGTGAAATGCTGGAACCACCAACCGCAAATTCTTCGGATAGTGAAGATGATCTTCCAAAATCATCTTTAGTGCAACTGTGTAAGTCTAGTAAACTACCTACTTGGGCGTGTAGTGATGCAGTCCGTGTTTAAAATAAATCACAATTTAAGATAAATCTTAAATCGCGGGATAAATATATCGATAAATTCTGTACCATATCGAAGTAACTCACTAATCAGTAACCGAAAAGCGCTACCGATCTTGACTCGGTGGAAACGTGAAGAGTGCTGGTCTAGTAAAAGGTCTATGAATATTATACCTATACATATAATTATTATATACAAAACAATATTAGATTTCCATTTGCCAAAACAAAATTCCTGCTTGAGCCCATCTTTAAAGTGAGGAATATTTTTAATACCTTCTTATTGTAGCCTATCCAGCGCATTTGGGGGAGGGGACCATTATTCGAAATTTCAAGTTCATATAATAAGGCTTTTGTTGTTTTTTTTTAAAAATAGCGATTAATGAGTGGCTTTTTTATGAAGCAAGCTAACCCCGTGCACTTAGTTTCCCGTAAAAATACTTATTACATCTTAAAAATATAGAAATATGAATTTTTTTTCTTTAAGAGGGAATAAAAATAATTTTTATCAAATTTTTTGAAACACTTATAGAGTAGGTAAAGTAAAAATATAAAAAAAATTATTATCAAAACCTTTGCATTGTAATCCGCTCCCTAGTCCCTAGTTGTTACTTGTATACTATTATAATGTGTACCAGTGTAGGTACCTAATTAATGACAAGAGTGGTCGACTGATAATTTACAGGGGCGATTCAAGGGTTTATTTTTAAGGAGTTTTGAATGAATTTTGCCGACTTCCAATAACCCAGTTTGCAGGGCCGGAGCGAGGGGGGGTTTAAGGGGTCGTCACGACCCCTCACTCATTTAACCTAATATTTCAGTCGGCACATTAACACATTGTCAAATACAACAAAAATATGTATAAAATATAAAAATACAAAAAAAAAAAAAAATTAAAATAAACCAATTAATTCCTATGGCTAATGAACTTTGTCGTTTGGCATTAACATCACCAGTTACCACAGCTTCAAATGAACTATGTTTCAGCAAGCTAAAATTAATCAAAAACCATTTAAGAACTACTATGACCAGTTCCCGATTAAATGATTTGATTATACTTGATTCTGAGAAAGACATTTTAGATAATATTGAAATGACAAATATGATACAAATATGGCATGATGTTAAAAGAAAGAAGAATTTCGGTGTACCTAATATATAATTATTATATATATAATTTTTTTATAATTTTTGTATTTGGAATGCACATTCTGACAATGTTAAATGATATTTTGTAAAATGTAATATATTATAATACTTATTTGTTATAAAAAATAGTTATTGTTTTATGATGCTCATTTAAAATCAAAATAGATAGAGATACTAAAAAATCAGCTTCGATCAAAAACTCTAAGTAAAAACTAAAAAGGCAATATTGTTGGTAAATAGTGATTTAAATAATTGAAAAATGTCTCTAGGATTTTGTTTATTCTTTATCATATTATACAAAAACATTATTAGTTTTATTGTTTTATTTATAAACGGTTTGACGAATTTTTACTCTGGAACAATATCATAATTAATAGTGAATATTGAAAAATATGTATAAAAACATGCATTTATCAAGATTTTATAATAAGTTTTTGCTCCAACATAGTATGGAATTGTCGAAACAAAAACTTGACATTTTGAGTGTCGAAAAAATTTTTTTTTAGTGTCTTATAATTATGCATGAATTTCAGTCGTCACTTTCGTTAACCACGACCCCTCACAAATATTAGCTAACGCCGGCCCTGCCAGTTTGACGACTGGTATTTTACTATTTTATTGTCCGTATTTTATAGACGCAATTTGGACAACTGCTTTGGGGGGGGTTAAATTTATAAAATCAATATAGACCAGGGGCGTAGCGTGCATGTAAGCACTGCTTACACTTTAAATGAAAGAAAAATAAATTTGATCAATCACGAGTCACGACTAATAGGTACATAATAAATGATTTTTAAAATTTTAATTTTATTTATACAATATTTAAGTTATAGCTGGTAGTGATATTTGTTATTGTTTATTTGTGTCGTACGCTGTCTACTGATTACCAACTAATTTAAGAAAATCATCGATTGTAGGTCTATTTTTAATCCATTCTGTATTATGTTAATTACATAATCATAATACGATGTACATACGTACAGTGTAACACATTCTGAAATTGCTTACGCGCAACTGTAGTTGTTTTCGAATAGTCTATGATGCCATAGTGGGGGCCACGTATTTAACTAGCGTTTGTAATTGTAAGCACATTTGATTTTGCTTACGCGAGAAACAAGGAGCGACCAGTAGTCAGTACGTAGCCCGGCACGTTGTAGACTGTAGTCGTTTTTACGTACACTGTCACTGTCATTCGCCTAATAGACTTTTGAAGTATTTATACTTCAATTTCTTTATTTTCTCGAATTTTGCTTTTTACAACTAGTATATTTTTAAAAATATTAAAAATTTTAAAAGGATAACATTTTTTTATACATAATTTATAATTAGATATTTAGGTATAGTACCTATATTCTAATCACTTTTGAAAAAAAAATTTCACTGCTTACATCTTTTTAATACCCACGCCACGCCACTGATATTGACCCACATAATTTTTTATTAGGTGGATTTAAGAATGAATATATTTAAAAACTTAGGGGGACTTAAATAAAAATAGAGGGGATGAGCCCCCCCAATTGCGACTTCGGCCGTTGCCAATTTATGTAATCTTTAGGGCTCGAATTTAAATGCCTTAAAATTATCAACAAATTGTTTTTAACATGTACAAATGTCTAAGTACGTTTATAAATATAAATATAAAAATAAATCAGCTAATTGGTTGGTGTGATTTAAAGATAAATTGGGGTGTAAATATGAATGAAACCAAATCCATCCACGGTACCTTTGCACTTCGTCACCGAGTATGCCCAACACTTTACCTCAATAATCAACCACTTCTTCCTGCGCAGTGTATACGTTACTTTGGTATCCTTATTGACCGCCGTCTCACCTGGAAACCTCACATAATTAGCAAAACCCGTACACTTAATGATGGCTTCCGACTCTTTCGACCACTTCTAACATCAAAGCATATGAAACTCTCCAATAAGCTCCTTCTTTACAAACTCCTACTCAGACCCATCTGGACTTATGGGATTGAACTATGGGGCGTTGCTAAAATTTCCAACATCAACCGCATTCAAAGATTCCAATCCAAAACTAAGTACAATTCTAAAAGCACCATTCTATGTCTCTAACCACACCCTCCACCAGTGGCGGCGCCAGGGGTGGGCCAGGGTGGGCCCGGGCCCACCTTAAAAAGTCTCCGGCCCCCCCTGTGGCCCACCCCAAAAATTAAATTTAATCATATTATAATACTAAAAAATATCTCATGAATAAATCATGATTTATTAAAATATGAAAATATTAAGTCATATTAGATGGCGTGAACAACATTTTGAATGGGTTGAAAACTATATGCACTATAATATGCTTTCAAGCCTCATAAATAACGTGTATTTTCCAGCGGCTGAATACGAAAATAATAAATTATTATTAAATATTCATTGGTATTGAGTGTAATTATGGGTTAGGGAGCATAAAAATCAAAAAGTGTTTACATGAATATATATTTTGTTAGCAAATAAATACTATTAATACAATACATGTTTACAAATCATTGTTTTAGTAAGTTTACACGATGAAGTGTAAAAAAAATGGGAAGTTGACCCTCCCCCTCACCCCTCTGCGAAATTGCCTGACATCACTATTGTTTATATATATATCAAGTCAACAATTTGGCCCTCCCTAAAAAATTTGGGCCCCAGCCTGGCCCACCTGGTATTAAAGTTCTGGTGCCGCCACTGCCCTCCACTCTGATCTCAAATTACCATTTGTCTCTGAGCTAGCCAAAACTCAATATAAACGTTTCAATAGCCGCCTAGCCCACCATAAGAATCCTTTAATCTCCGATCTATCATCTGCTTCTATCCCAGGTGACCCAATTAAAAGACTCAAAAGACAGTGGTGTCGTGACCTGCTAGCTTAACTATAAAGTCCTACTCATTTCGTAGTACCTCTGCTGGGAGGCCTCTACAGTCTGGTTAATCAACATGATTTTGAGATTTCCAATGGAAATTGTTGTTTATAAATGGTTGCATGGGTTTTGAAGCTAATTAATATAATAAATTATTGGTTACCGGGAAACTAAGTGCACGGGATCAGCTAGTAAATAGTTCAAAACGAAATTCTCGAGTCAGCCCATCTTTAAAATGTGCATTTTTTAAATCGCTTCTTAATTTAACTTAAGATTCTAGAGCATTAAAGGAACCATCATTCAAACATTTTTTAAGTTTATACGTTTTGTCTTTTTTGAGAAATAGCGATCAGTATCCAAATTTTGGATTTTATATAATGAGTTAAGCATATAGGTATAGACTGATTGAGCCAAATTAATGTTGGGATAAGGGATTCTGTAGCAATCCCGCGACCAAAAAAAACATGTTTTGGTGCGATATAGATTGGTAGGTATAGCTTAGTTATACATTTTATTTTGAATTGAATAATATTTAAATATAATATCTACAGTCTACAATGAGAGTTATGAGAATTCGATACCGAAAGTATATGAAATTTCCTAAGTTAGTGCTTGTGGAAATGTGAAATGATTGTAGTGCGTGTGCCTAATAAGTGATCACTGATCATTATTATTTATTAGTGTAATAGACGCTATTGACTATTACACTATATTATACAGTAATGTCTAATATAGAGTATATTATGACTGTGTGTTTGTGTGTAAAAGAAATAGCTAACTCACATACACTGCAGTCACAGACACACAGACCCAGATAGGGTTAACGGTATTTTGAAATTATTTTGTTAAACTGTATACCGTAAAAACCGTAGACCGTATAAACAAGGAAACTTTTCTATTTATAAAATTACCTCAGTTTTTATTATTGGAAGTTTTGGTGTTTATCGTTTATATTTATATATATATTGGACTTTGTACAACAAGAAACACGATTTCTTAACAATCATTGTCGAGTGACGAGTGCCAAACTAGTATCTAACTGCCTATTGCTCTCTTAACATGTTTTAACATTTGAAGCTGAAGCCCCTTGCCCCCCAGGGTAGGCCACTGCTATTAGGCCATTACCCATTAGGTAATTTGTTTAAAAATACAATTAATTTTAACAGAATAAAAGTATGTTGTATTTATTTACTCGGTAGGTACACTTTACTGTACATTTATTACACATTTATACACGTATTTTAGTATTATACTTACGTACCTATAACAAAAAATGCTAGCCTTATTAGCACTTGTAAAGTTTTTCTTCGTGAACAAAAATTAAAATGTACATAAAGCAATATTATGATAACGTAGGTACCTAATTGGAAATATTTTACAGCATTGAGAATTAAATTACTTTCTTCTTATTAAAAACGGTAATAGTAACTATAGGCAGTACGTTTGACCTTTGCTGTAACCTGTAGTAGGCGTTATTTTAAATTTATAAAAATAATAAATCCAATTATATTTTAAATAATATTTTTTTTATGTTATATTAATATATTATGTAAAGACCAGATATAGTTGAGTTAAAATATGTCAAAATTGTACTAAAAATATGTAAAAATTGCAATGAAAATATATAAAAATAAATTACAATTAAAAATACATTAAACTATTAAAGTTACATTAAAAAATCATAGAAAATAAGTAATACATAATTGTTAATTACTTAGGTACTTAAAGAACATGGTGGACATTAACATATTATAGCATTATAAAATAGTATTAAAAAAAAAGGGGTAAGTGGATGTCGCTCTGCTGTACCTACAGTAGGTTACAAGTGGGTTTCAAGTATCAAACTTGAATTCAAATAATTCAACGATATAATATCATTGTATAAGAAAAACGATTGTGAGCGGAGACGGTTTGTCAGTCTGGATATTTTATATTGTTATTATTTATTATATCATGTAAGTTGAATTAATATTATAATAGTATTATTTTTTATTCGTTTCTATAGTGATAAATAAAGCGAAATTAAAATCCCATTTTTAGCGGTTTTTTCGTAATTTTTCGGTGGTTTTTCCAGTGGCATTAAATAAATATTGATAAAATCGAAAAATGACCTCTTTAAAGTACCATCGTGATCCAATTTGCTAAACGATAAGGTACTATATGTTGAAATCGAATCACTACTTCTGGTGGAAATTTTGTATGCAGGATTGAGGATATAAATAAAATAATAAATAAACACCATTGTAAAACCACTAGCTTCCTCGCTCCTCTCAGGATCTAAAAAAAATAATAAAAAAGTATTTAAAAATGAAAAATATATTATTTTTCTGAATTAAAATGTATAATTATATATATTTTTAAATTGTGTTCTTGAAAATTGTATCTTCTATTACTCAATGTATGTTTATAAAATGAAAAGATACGTTCAACATCTACACTTGTTATCAGTGCATGTTTAAAACAATTTGGCGTTATATCTAAATTAACATTCTTATTTCCTACCATAACCTCTAAAAAAATAGAGATGACTACCTATTAAAATCAGTAAAATAAAATTTAAGACTTTTCTAGAAACTTTCATATACCATTAAAAATTAAAATAATTTTTAAGTTTTCTTAATATTTCCCAGGTATGTGCTGTATCTCCTCAGCCTCTTGGCTACGCCAATGCTTAGGACGCTTTTCTACTATTAGGAAAAACCATAATGTAAAAATTTACATCATAGTTATATATTTATTGAAAAATTACCTAAGAAATAATAATTTGTATATTTTGCCTAGTGAAGTATACAAAAATTGCAATATAATTTCATATGGGAAGACAGTAATTAGTCCGATTCGTGTACATTTTTAATTTACCAAATATCAATAAAAAGTTGCAATATAAATTAAACCAGGTCTTTAGTTATATGTTACATCTTAATTACGGTTTATAATTTAAATAGGTAGGTCAAAAACAGGAAAAGACACAACAATCTTGACAACTGAATCTATAAAAAAAACTGAAGAAAAAATCCAAAAAAAAATCGAGGTATTACAGTCGGAAGAAGAGAAAGCTAAGAACATATGGCAAGATGAAGAGATCGTTGCTGCTCCAGAAGCTATTGACGTTGTATCAGACACTAGAATTAGACCTGAATATGATGTAAAATATCAACAATTCGTGGGAACAGAAGATGCGTTTCTACAAGTAAATTAAATTTAATACCTATATGTTTTGTAACTTAGCGGTTTCAGCGTTTTTACTCTAGGTGACTATAAATTATTAATCATTTTTAAAGGTCAGGATGAAGCCTATTGTTTTTATATTTGTTTATGGATGTTCATGACCATTTTTTAACCAACATCTAACATCCATATATTTTGATTCAATCCATATTATGTCATGTATTTAATAATATTTTACTATATACATAAGATTATATATTATACAATAACCTTATATTCTATACTGTATACAAGGCCGTATCCAAGAATTATTTTTTTGGGAAGGGAGGGTCCAAATCATGTTTATTGTAATTTTATTGAATTTAGATTTTGATATTTGGTTTATATTTTGCTTAAAAATAAGACTTATTGAACAAATTTCGGGAGGGGGGTTCAGACCCTTTGGACCCCCTCAGATACGGCTTTCACTGTTTACACTATATCTTCTATTGCTACAATAACGTAAATACTATATACAATATAATATAATATAATATTATATTATATAGTATATACTAATAAAACTATTGGTAGCTGCTATACAAAAATACGTTAAGGAGTTTTTAAGGAGTTCAAAAAAACAAATTTTCAAAATCTATGGATGTAGGTCTTGTAAATGTGTGCATGTGTGTAAAAGAAATTACAGAGGGATCCCGCACGGGCACGTATTCGAAGTCACTACTTCGACATTGTGCGCGTGAAAGGTAAACAATATTTAGATATGCTTGCATTTGTATGAACTTTTTGTCAATTCCACCGATGATGGAAACGATAACGCGATAAGATTTCTGAAAACTGTTTTGAATTCGTTAATATGTCTACTTGAGATCGACCAGGCCACATTTTAATATAATCAATTTAATTTTCGAGTAAAGAACATTTTAAATTTTGTACATTTTAAATATTCAAACAAACTGTATAAGAGTTTAGGAACAACATAAAAAAAAGGGTTATATAATTATATTAAATTATGAACAATGTATTATTTAAGAAAATAGCTACTCACATTTTTAGATAGCCTACCGTTGTTATCGCATATATACACTCTATATTGTACCTACCTTCCTTAGTTCCTTATTAATTAATACTATCTTGTTCTTATTTCATAAATCATCAGAATCAATAATAAAAAAGCCGCTCTGCTGTAAAGTAGGCTACAAGTGGATCACTGTTTAATGGATGGTATTAAATTTGAATTTAATGATAACATATCATTGTATAAGAAAAACGATTTTGAGCGGAGACAAAATAGGGTATGTCTAGGTATAAGACATATTATAATATACTTATCTATCGTATTAAAAAAAATTTACCTAAAATAGGTACCTATAATAAATTCCAAATTGATCATATCACAATATCCATTAGGTACTTACCTATAACGCGTTATACATCAACAACAAACCCTGATGGCTGATACTATCATAGATATATATTATATTATATAATAGTGTACTTTAGAAGTTTCAATTACCCACGAATCACGATTCACGAATAATATTAGAAGATCACAACAAAATAACTAAAATAGTTATTCTAGGTATTTAATATGTAATTTCGTCCAAATTTGAACTTAAATGACTATAAAATATACTGTGATTGTGAATTTTTTAGATTTTTTGGTTACTGAATTAACTACTTACGTGGAATCTTGTTTTAAATTTTCAATCATTAGATATAAAAATTGACCATTTTATAAATTTTTAACTACAAAATAATTATTTAATTTTAAATTTGATCTTTAAATACTTATAAAAAAAATTGTGCCTATGTATTTTTTTCAACTACTATTGTAACAATATATCAGGAGACTTGTATTCAATTTTTACACTTTTTGGCCCAACAGATAAAACTTTATTGATATTTATAGAAAAAAAACTAAAAAAATTGCACTGTATACTAATTGAGTCCCTATACCTGAACGGGAAAAAAATAATATACTAATTGAGTCCCGGGTACAAACGAGACATATACTAATTGAGTCTGGGGTTTGGAAACTAATTGTATACGAATTGAGTCCGAGGATTATTTTGAGTAAAATATAAAATAACCATCCAGAGTCCAGACACAGCGAAAATTATGCCACACAGCCTTGCCGCGCGTCAAAAGCCGCTCCACACGGATATACCTATATATATTACATACATATCATTCATATCATTTTTATGACTTTCGTCAGATAATATAGTAACAAATTATACTATGGGCCTGGAATTTTAGATTTTATTTCTATCATCACTTTTGTCAGATAACATAATATAATACATATTGATTAGGCCGTAGTACAGACAGTCCTACGTCTGTAAAAATGGGAAGGAAAATGTTTTTTTTTTTAAATTTTGCGGGACTCAGTTAGTATTAAAACATGGACTAAATTAGTATTATACCTACAATTTCACTGGACTCAATTGGTTTATACCCTAAAACAACCCGGGACTCAATTCGTCATAAAAGGTTATACTGGGACTCAGTTCGTATGCAGCCAAAAATTGAAAACTGACAATGTCCGTAAACAGCTCAAAGAGAGTCAACTATTTTCAAAATTGTAAGGTGCATAGGAAATGCCAATATAAACATTCAGTGAAATTTTCATGTACCTATCTACAGTTATTCGTTTTTTAATTACAACAAAATAAGGAAATCTCTACATGAGAAATCGAGTGAATATCCAATATTGTAAAAATTTGAATTTCAAACACTCATAAAAATTTAATTTGACTTTCTTATAGACATTTTTTTTTTTTGATAAAGGTAGATAATCTTATAAGGAATCTTGTATTACATTTTAAAATCTTTGATTTAAAAAGAAAAATTTTTACAAATTCTTATCTCAAAATAATTTGCTAATTTTCGTGATTTTTCCATATTTTGTCAATTTTTGAACTTTAAATGCTTATAAAAAAAACTGTGACTAAGGATTTTTAATATTTTTCAAATGTCATTATAACAATATAGTAGGAGCCTTGTATTAAATTTTCAAGTATTTTTACTCAACAAATAAAGTTTTATTGACATTCATAGAAAAAAAACTAATAAAATTGGAAACTGAAAATGTCCCTAAACAGTTGAAAACAAATCAAATAATTTGAAAAATGTTATCATGTGTAGAAAATGAAAATATAAACAAACAGTGAAAATTTCATGTACCTATATACGGTCATTTGTTTTAAAGTTACACCAAAAACCATAGTCGATTTTGCGTAAAAATTCCCGTTTTTCCTTAATTTTTCTTTTGTTTTTCATGGCGCTTTTGATAATTACTGGGACTTTTAAATGTTGACCTCCCCAATGCACCAACAATATTCACTTTTGCATCGAACAAGATACTGAAGTTGAAAACCGAAGCATTATTTCGACTACTTTTATCGTGTACACAGTCACACAGACACACACAAAAAAACACATCATTGTTAAATCAATACATTCAACTACGTTCCACTCAGAATCTAAAAGTATCCTGATCGATCTCAAGTAGACATATTAACAAATTCAAATCAGTTTTCAGAAGTCTTACCGTGTATCATGTCCATCGGTAAGATTGACAAAAGATTGGTACGTTTTGTAGAAATAATTGTTCATTTTCAATCCCATTAATATTAATGGCGTATTAAATGGTTCCATATAAAAAAGTTAAATTTTTTTCATTTTTTCATTGAACTTATCTGCAGATTATGCATGCAAAATTATCAATAATTAACAACATAACAACTTTAACCTACTATTTAAGATTAATTATAATTGGCCTCAAATGCTATAGGATAATTTTCCTGTTAGTTTTAAATAGGCGGCTGAGTGCTGACTAGAGTGGGGTAGCCAGGAGGTTTGGATGTTTACCCTCCCACCATTGACAATTTTTTTCGTTAATAAATGTAATATTTATATTAATTATATACGAGATCTGTAAAAAACTTAGTTTAATTTATACTTACCTATATTATATACTTACTATATTTAAATTTCAGAAATTATAATGATTTAATGATAATAATTGTAATAATATTCATATCATAGTATAATGTATAATGGTTTTAGGATTTTGATATTTGAAGACAATTAATAATAGCAATAAAAACATAAAATTCTATAGGAAAAAATTAATCTAAAACAAACAAACATTTTATTTTATTTTGATAGGTGTATTAAGAATAACATTTATATGAAACCAATTTATGTACAGAAATAACATTTCTATTTTAATAAGAAAAAAATAGCCTTATTTTATATTAAATATTATTTTCGATGATTAGGTAACGAATTAAATATTATAATATTTGATTACCTATGTCGATCTGAATAAGCGTATATTATATAAAAACAATGAATCATAAAATAATTATATGATTCACCAAGCATGCTCATCCCTTTTTTCTTTAATAATGTAGTTATTCAAAATCTGATTTTTTAATTTTTAAATATACTTTAAGACCATATTTTCAAATTCATGAGATTTTTTATAGTTACTACTTAAGGATTATTTTGTGGAGATACAAACTTCAGTTTTTCATATGAGAACACCCCTGTTAAACTATACATTACACAGAAGATAATTTCTCTGAAATTGTTGACGTATCAAAATCAAAATTCGTACTAGTAGTTTTTGAGTTATCTAATTTTCTGTTTTAAGGATAAAAGGTCCATGGGCAAATGGGCTTATAAGATATAGTGGTCATTGGCTATGGTGATTTTCCATTGATTTATCAATGTTAATAATTTGTAAAAATGGCCCAAGATAATAAATACTAGGTACCTATATCCAATTTTATGTCAATGTTATATTTATGTAAAACCATTTTTAAGTTTTTTTACATCAACATTTTCAAAACATTTATCCAATACATAATTTACAGGAAAAAAGGGGATACTCCTTGTATGTAATACAAACAAATTGAAAATGTTTGAAAATATGGTCTTTGAGTATATTTAAAAATTCAAATAATCAACATTTTAGTAAAATCATTATTAAAGGAAAACATGATGGGAGTGAGTATAGTTGGTGAATCCGTGAATTACCCTGTACACCTAATAGCTTTATAGACATTTAATAAATTCAAACTTATAATACTAAATATTAAAATATTTAGTATAATAAGTTTGCATGATTTTTATTGATTTAGTTTTATCATTATAAAATATAAATAATAATAGATTTTGATTGATTGTGTTGATACTTCAACTAAATCTAATTATTAATTTACTGTTTTCAATTAAAGTTATGAATGGCTTAATCGAATGTATATTCCTTCTCAAAAGACAATTAAATTGTCTTGTATTATATATGTATATGATACATTTGTACGAATATAAAACAAGTGGAATTGAATTATATATTTTTGAGTTAAAAAAAAATGTATTAAAAAAAATAGATTCTCCATTCACTTTAATATTCAGTACAAAGTATTTCGTATTCCTGGTTTAAATAACTTTGGTTAATAAATTTGATATTTATGTAGATTTTCATGGCTTTGCATCGTTGTAGGTAACTTCAAGTTTCGTAACTTAAATATTAATTAAAAAAATAAGAATGTGTATTTAATTATATTATTATTTTATTAAACTGTTTATCTGTAACGAAATTTAATAATAAATAATTCGTTTATTTAAAATTTATACTATAATCATATTTATCATAATATGGTTATTGCATATTATTATTTATATGTCTAACAATGTAAAGTTACTAATTATTATAGTCCACAATTATGTGTCTGTATTGTTTACAGTGTATGGAATTTGGATACATGGTTGGTATATTATTTAAGTTATCTTCATCAAGCCATTATATTTTTATCATCTATTTATTATACAATATTACAGTGGTCAATAGCTAAACATAAAATTAAGTTTAATTTCATTAAAATGCTGGAATGAATGAGTTAACTTCATTGATTTATCGGAAGGAGACTATATTGTGATTATTATATTATTTTATACTATATAATATTATATATTGTTATTATATTATTATTATTTTTATTATAACAGTGTAGTTGAATGCACATTTGTCACATCTTTTCTGACTGACCTTATATCTTTAACGTGTAGGGCTATTCTTTTTTTTTGGTTTCTCTTTATTTTTATCTTGATATTCTTCCATAGTCATAAAGTTTCTTCATAATTATTATTCGACTTTGTTTCCACGCTACTTATATACTCGTATATGATTGATCATAAATTATGGACTACCAAAGTATAATATAATATGTACATTTATCATTTTTGTAGGTATTTATAATTATGTTATGTTTATATGTATTTTAAACATTTTTATAACAAGTTCAATATTATGTGTATTACGAATCACCAGTGAAACTAGAGTTTTAACTACCTATTACAATTGTAGTTAAAATAATGAGAGTTATTTATTAATTTATCTAAGTTTTAAACGGGGTAGGTGGTATAGGCCCAATTATTATTACACAAATGAGATAATAATAACAATCGTTCATAAATAATAAAGCTGAAAATTTAGGAAAGCAGGATAGCTTACTCTGCGAGCCTGCTAATTTCCCCGTTTCTAAGAGAATTTTAATACAACTCAATAAACTATAATTCCAAATACAATTTAAGCAGAATATGGAAACCCTAATATTTTGGTAGTAAATTTGGGCTAGTATAAATCTATATTTAATACTTATGCAATAAGTAATTATCTTAATATCAATAATCGTAATTCGTAACTATTAAACTATGTACTTACACTCTACAGTAGGTACTTAACTACGGACAATAAATAAATATATTACCTAATACTAGGTACCTGATCCTGTGCACTTCGTTGCCCATTCAATTTACCAACTCTATATGATTCAAACTTTGTTCGATTCTTTATTTAATATTCGGGTAATGATGTACCAAAATTTAAAATTTTTCATCGATCATCTTGAATCTCAAAATACTTGTGCCAGCACCACTTTATAAAATGTGAATTTTGGAAGATGCTTTGTTGTACACACTTACATGGTGGTACAATTGTACAAAGGTAGGTACCATGAAAATTGCAAGCCTCAAACTATCATTATTTAGATTTTAGGCTCTACTAGACCCTAGGGGTCCTCGAGAATATATTAGGGGGTCCACGAAAAAAAGGCGTAATGGCGGAAAAAGTGAAATTTGTTATATTTTATGTATTTGTTTTTGTGATTTGTGAAATATTGTAAATGGGTTTTTCCTAATTTATGGTATAAGTGTGTATAGGTATAATAAGAGTATAATATGAAATATATCTTTATAAACGGCGGTACGTGTGCACTGGATTTTATCTAAATTTATGTGCCTACCTATTAAAAATAAAAAACTGATTGAACTGAAAACAGATTCTTCACTTTAGGCAGCATTTCTTGAAAAAAAAACTCTCATCGCCTTTTGCAGGGCTGACGTGAATAACAAATATCCTGAGCTTTCTTCCAAAGCATTTAATATTTTACTACCGTTCACGAGTACTGTATTGGTGGAGAGGGCCTTTTTCGTCATATACGTTCATTAAAAATAAGTAGGTATCGTAATAGACTATCTGTGAGTTCAGACTTACGGGTTTACGGTTTACCTATCAACTGTCGAGCCAGATTTCAAAAAATTAAGTGCTAGCAAACAAGCAAGCCCAAGGATCGCATTAAAACTAAATTTTTAACTTAATATATTTTAAAATATAAATAGACATTTCAAAATTTTTCGTTTTACTTATTTTGTTAATTCGTATTTAACTTATGTGAAAATATATGACTAAGTTGACATTTGGGGGTCCTTAAAATAGTGTTGAGAGGTCAAGGGGTACTCGAATGAAAAAAGGTTGAGAAACGTTAGAGTCTAGTTGATCAGTCAGTGAGTCAGTCAGGACACGTTTGATTATATTATATTATTATAGCCATCCCGACAGACGGACAAATGTAAACTGGGCCCGAGGTTACCTTTTTTGCTGTATACTCAGCCCGGAAATTGTAGGTAGTAAAATAGATAAATTGTACAATCGGCCCGATAATTTTGACCAATAAAATATAATAAGCACGACATAATTTTATTTGCAAATACATTTTACTTATATTTTTTGGTACTGAAACGCATTACTTAATTTTTTTTACAATTTTACATTTATATAACGAATTTCATGCTATGAATAATAATATGAAAATGAAAATAATTGTTCTCTGGGTATTATAATGGTTCACCTTAAATCATTTTTACCTGTAAAAACCCTGCCGAGTGTACAATATTAAATAGATCAATATTCAACAACCAATATTCCCGGCGAAATGCTTGTATGAAAAGTATAAATTTAATCGCAAACGAAGTTGTTCTAGTGTCTTGAAAATAACTTAATTTCTTTCAGAATTGATAAATTATATAGTTAAATAAAATGTACCCAAACCAAATAAACCAAATTATTCGTATATTCTATGTTGATAAATGAATATCTTTGGAGTTCTATAATATTTTGAATTTTAAATTCCACTCATACATTTTAACTATTTACTATACAAATTAATTTACAAATTACAATGCATGTTAATGATATAAATACGAACTCAATTTTAAATGTCATTTTGCAATAAATATTTTTGCCTGAAATACAATTATACATTTTGCTTATCTTACAAAAACCATTCGACATTAAAATAACGTTTATAATTTTTTATAGATGGGTCCAAAGACTCCACTGACTTCCAGTTGTGAAGCGATGGTGATTGAAGTGAAAATGCCAGGAGACCGTATGCCAGGCATTTGTACAGATATAACAGAAGACGCTGTTGATATCCGTAGTCCTAAGTATAGATTGCACGTGCCTTTTCCACATAATGTGCACAAACAAATGTCGAAGGCTTCGTGGAATTCCTCGACCAATACTCTTACAATAACTGTATTCCTAAAACGTGAATACGATGATATCAATTTCTGATATGTAGGGATAAAAAAATTATAAGTAGGTTCTAATTTATCAATAAATTGTTCAATATATTTTCTGTATCGAAATATTCTGTTTCATTTTTATAATGTTCAATTTTCTTATTTTTCTCAGTTATTAAATGTGTTATTTTATTTAGAACAATATAGTATTCTTTAACGTTTGCTGCGTCTGCTCAGTGCTCACGCCTCTACAGAAAATCCCTCTTGTTTCAGTCTAGTCCTCTTTTAAATAACTATTTTTGTTAGTTTTTTTTCGAAACATTAATAATATTCGAATAGGTTGCGCTCTTGGCAAAATATAACATGCCTTGAACTTGTCACAGTTAATTTTTTGACATAGCAAATGTGTTAAATAAATGTCATATTACTGGTGATTATTGGTATTAGTCTATAGTGTTGTGTCAACTTGAAACAACCATTGTGTGCTTAAAAAATCACCCTTTATACGTATTATATAATATTATAGCAATCTGAGATGAGTTTAGCGAGACTTAATGAGAGGGATTTCCCAGGGTGGTTATTTTTTACATGGGAATATTTGTTTTATTTTACAATTCATGTCACCTTATTGGAAAACTTTTTTCTTATTAAAACTAATTACTATGTTTTGATCGTGCAACAACGATGAAGTGAAAAACTGTTTGCTGAGGGTTGTGATGACGTTGACATTCTTACTTCTTAGGTACCTAGACGATAAAAATATCTGTTTCATTATTTTACTTTTACTTATTCAATAAAATATAATATGCATCAACAGTTGGGGTTTGTTAGGTTTATTGGTAGGTGACAGGGTAGGTGGTAGGGAGAGGGAATGAACAATTTTGAAAATGCATTTGTATACATCAAAGTATAAATGTTACCACAGTGTGTCATACAATAATTTATCGTTATCACTAATATTATCATAATATGATCATATTATAATTATTATTCATTATTACTTGTGATGCCGTGATTGTTGCTTACTTATGTAGTTATAATAACGAAAATAAGTGACAGGTTAGTTAAAACTTTATTTAATAATGATTATTAGTATCATGATTTGATAATAATAATATGTCTTTATTCTATTTAAATGTAATCACTAATTAGTTACATTATAATATTGTATAATAAACGAAACTACCGGGATTTGGGATACGGGCTCATGAGTCAGAAATACAACGATCAGTATATTATTGGTGTAGCTTTACATTTTGTAAATTACTAGCTCGTTGTTTGTCTAGACGCTTATTTGAGTTCTCGATTTTTCACGTAGACTGACAAAATCATATAGTTAGGTATCATATATTGACAAATTGCCATGTTCTAAAATTAAATATAATGTAAGGTTATTTTTTTTATTTGTATTTTTGTGTTCCACAACTTTCTAGTCATCCTAGATATTACACATATATTATATATATAGTATGTATAACACTATAACCATATCATAATTTCCACTCAAACAAGTGGATGTATTATGTACAGTTTTAATGTCATCAATAGTATACCATATCGTTTAATTAACGTGATCATCGTTTAAACTATGCACTCTCAAATTACAGGACATAGGTACTAAGGTGACGTATGCGTAAGTATAATATCATTGCTGTGAAAGACCATTGTCTGCTGTTTTTGCTTCAAAAACAGTAAACTGCATACATAATTTTAATTGTTATTAATAGGTATAGTACTTGTGTGCGGTTTTGTTGATATTGTGCATTTGTGCCGATCCTTTTGCTGTCGTCGGATGGTTCAATTAGTTAATCCATAATTACTTAAATAGTTTTTATTCAGCCCGGTGAGTATACTTTTATCTTCAATATATAGGATGACCTGATATAATAGTATAATGGTAATAAATAGGTATAAGCTTATGGGTTGTTATAGTTATTAGTTATTACTTATTACCATTATAATAATATAGTATTTACGATATGTATTTATCATAGCAATGAAGTTGCTGACAGCCGGTAGGCTAGTCAAATCAACTTCTAACACAATATTTCCTCCCTTTGCTCAATTACCTTGGACGGATTTTGCCCCAATCTTATGTCACACAATAAACCTTTGGTCCGTCCAACTACTTGACTAACCTATCAGCCAACTTCGCAACCAAATACAAAACTATTGTCCCTGATATCTCTAATAAAAAACCTGGTTCAATAACTTAGATTAACTCCACGTGGGTCACTCGCTTCTACTTGATCACGCCAATAAACTTGGATTAAATGGTTTCCTTTTTGCACACTACATTTCATCAAAAGCATCTAGCGGACTGTCATACTTATTCTTCGACTGTCCCTCGTTACATACCAATAACGTATATACTATTGCTCAGTTACCTGGAGTTTCGTAACTTTTCCCCAACCCCTTCTGTATGTGGAGTGATGAATGTATTCATTTTACAACGATGGTCTTTTGTATGCGTTTTTTTGTGTCTGGAGATGTTTTTATAGTAAAAAAAATGCTTTGATCTTTTCGTTCAGCATCTTTATTCTTTACTGGTAGGAAAGTAAATCTTGTTGGTACTTAGGAGGGACAAAAGTGAAAAATCCTTTTTAAAATTTTTTAATAATTAAACAACACAAAATTAGGAAAAAACTGTAATTTTTACGCAAATCAGTTATTGATAAAATAAATTGCCTTATTTAAATCTAATTCAAAAACGAATAACTATAAATACATTTGTAATTTTCAACTTTTTTTGTTTTTTCTATACATCTTGATAAAATATTTGGCTTAATTCACTTTAGCTACCCAGCACATTTTAATTTTTTTTTTTTGAAATAGATGTACTTCGACGAGTTAAGAACGATGACGCTAAAGTGAATTTGTTCCCTGTATACAAATATACATGAGTACACTTCTTATTTATTAGCATTTGAAATTTAATTAAATGTTGACAAAGTTCGATAAAATCATGAACATTTTTAAACTATTTTATAGTAAAAAAAAATGTATGTAATTTTGAATTTTTATAGCTAAGCCGAAGAAAGTAGTTTATACCGTAACCAAAATATTCTAAAGATATTCAATTATTATTTTTTATTTAAACAAAGAATAACAATATTCGTTATTTTCATGTAATTAAAAATTTTTAATTCTGGGTACTAGTTTTAACGTGGGTATATTATTATATTTTATACACACAATGTATTTTTAAATGTAATATTTTCGGCAAAAATGTATATTAAACCTACCGTATTACTATAATAGTAAAATCAATTACTTAGATAGCAATAAGAACATGGCATACAATATATTTAGTAAAACTATAGTCTTCTTTCAGAATAGTATTTCGCATGCAATGATTTATCATTGAATTTCAATCTAATACATAGATTACAGTGACTTACTCAATGACAAGGTACATTCGACACTTACTGTATAGCAGAGTGTTTAACTAACTAGTACTTTCCTCCTTTTTTATGAATGTGATTAATGCAATTACAATCACACGGCGTCCTGAGTATGTTACTTCGCTGTCATGGGTGCATTAATCCAATATCCTATAAAGTGATAACTATATTTGTTAGCGCATTACGATATTAAAACTATGGCACTTCTATGTGCAAACCAAAAAATACTATTAACATCTTAAAATAAACAGTTAGTCAGTCTAAAATACTTCCATTTAATTTAGCCATGGTGCTTTATCATACATATATACCATGGGTACAGTAAAATGTAAGTATAAAGTTTCGTGTATAGTACTTAATACTAAATTATTAATACATACATTAAATATGTCTTGACTAAAGGCTAACATATAGATTCCTAATAATACTTTCAATATTATCGATATTTTCTTAATTTTTTTATCTTTTTATCTCAATTTTTTATACCTCTATTGCATCATCCAATCTTCTACAAGATTATTTTTGAAAATTCATGATTAAACAATACAATTTAAATGGATCGTGGATCATTTTTAGTACCTAATAAGTAATAACTTTATTAATTTTTAATATCTTATAATATATGATATAATATTATTTTTGAATTAAGATAGGTAGGTGGTTAGTTTTTATACGTGTATGGTTTTGTGGACCCTTAAAAAAGTATGATTTATTTTACAGATACGCATGACTCTGTATCAGAATTGCTTAAATAGAATTAAATAAAAAAAAAATTGATTTGAAATCTATTCGAGTACCTGATTTATATTATATTATGTTATAGGTATTAGGCACTTTATAAAAATAAAATAAAATAAATATCGCAAAAATTTAAATTTTCAAAAAACCCATTTTGGATTCTGAGTGGAACGATGAATGTATTGATTTTACAATGATGTGTGTTTTTTTATTTTTTTTATTTTTTTATTTTTTTTTTGTGTCTGTCGTCACCTTTTAGGACAGTAAACGTGCTTGGATTTTTTTCAACAGTATTTTTTCTGATAGGAAAGTGAATCTAGTTGGTACTTTGGGGGGTCAAAAGTAAAATTTTTCCAGTAGTTTTCAAAAGCACCGTGAAAAACAAAAGAAAAATTAAGGAAAAACAGGAATTTTTAAGCTCAATCGATTTTGGTTTTTGTTGTAACTCTAAAACAAATGAACGTATATACATGAAAATTTCACTGGTTGTTTATATTTCCATTTTCTATACATGATAACATTTTCCAAATATTTTGAGTTATTTTGAGCTCTTTACAGACATTTTTACATTTCGTATAGTTTCCATTTTTTTTTAGTTTTTTTTTCTGTAAATATCAATAAAATGTTATTTGTTGGGTACAAAAGCTTAAAAAATTGATAGTAGGCTCCTAATATATTGTTTCAAAGACAGATGAAAAATATTAATAATCCTTTGTCACAGTTTTTTGTTATATGAGCATTTAAAGTTCAAATATTGACAATATACGTAAAAATTACGAAAATTTGCAAATTATTTCGTGTTGGAAATTCATAAAAATTTTTATTTTTAAATCTAAGATATGAAAATGTAATACAAGATTCCTCATAAGTTTGTCTACCTTTATCAAAAAAAAAAAATGTCTACAAGAAA